GGGGTAAAAAGTATAACTATTGCACTGTGTTGTACAGCTGAAACTAATTCTAAAAAATGTGTATTTCATAATAAAAAATAATTTAATAATTTTTAAAAAAGATGAAGATTGATCAAAGGACATGGGTTCTTTGGCCCCACTCCCAGCTAGAGACTCAAAGCTATATGCATATTAATGGTAAGATGGTGAGAAGAGATGTTCCTGGGGCTCCTTAACATAATAGGTGCCCCATGGTTCTAAAACTAATGGGAGTTATAGTTACATTGGGAAGACGGAAACGCAAGCATTGATGGGATTAAGACAAGAGTTTGAAAACTGTCCTGGTGTAGAATTCTACCCCTGGTCATTCGCAGAAGGTGAAAGAATTCATGAGACTACAAAGTAGGGGAGCAAGAAAAGGTTTATGGAAAGTCAGGGAGAGAGAGAGGAGAGAGAGAGGAGAGAGAGAGAGAGAGAGAGAGAGAGAGAGAGAGAGAGAGAGAGAGAGAGACATACCTGTTTGAAAGAGATATACTGGCAAAAGGAGTTTTGCCAGGGCAGAGTCTGATGGAGACAGCTGCAGCGGGTTTCTGTTCAGCTGGGGTTTTATATTTTTTTGTGCAGGATGTAGGGTGCTTGTCAGCTTGCAGGGGGGCTAACATTACAATCGTCTTCTCCTAGGAACTGTCCTGTTCCCATCTATGATGGACATCAGCTTTCAGGGGGTTGCTTTTGTGATGGGGAACTGTGCTGTTCCCACCTATGTGGATATAAGGTGCTTGTCAGCTTGCAGGTGCAGTGCTAGCCAGGGGAGTCAGAGCCAAGTGGTTTATGTTTAAGCTCCTTCCTGCCAGCTCACAAGCCTGCTCCTTTTAACTCTTTACTTGTCTCATCAAAAATGGGAATGTTTGACTAAATTTTATGTGAGATCATTGTGTTTCTTTGTTTACCCAAACGTAAATAGGTACTGTATCTGACTGGGGAACATGTCCCTGGCCTAGTATTATAAAGCAGGAGGCATGTAAACCTTTCCTACAACCAGTATTGATTGGACATGCTAAATGGGAACCAGTAAGATTTCCCAAGCCCACACTGGTTGTCAATTTGACAAGTATAGGCTATGAAAGTTTCATATTTAGAGTATTCCATTTTCTTCAGCATGCTTCCTTTCTCCATTCCCTTTTACCGGTTCAGACCTTTACTCTGTCCGCTTTTATGTTTTTGTTGTCACAAATTATCCCTATTTATGCTGCGAGTTGATTTCTGCACTGCAGTAGCAAGTTGTCTTTTTCCTTTTTTTTAATAACATGATATATAGATGATGTATTGCAGAATTGTACACTTGAAGCCTATGTAACTTTACTAACAAATGTCACCCCAATAAACTTTAATTTAAAAAGTATAGGCTATCTGCTGGGGGGGGGATGTTAGAAGCCCAGTGTTTGGTTGATTTATTTGGATTTTGAAGAATACATTTTCTATGTCTGGGAATATTGTTAGCCCCTATTCATAAAATTACTGGAAAGAAGTCTTCGAGTCCTTATGCAGAGTGCAGCTTATGCCAAAAACCAGTGAGCACCACACAGCGACAACCACTGGGATTTGGGGCCAGAAAGTTTCCATTAGAGAGAAACTCGTTGGCTATCGGGGTTTAATTGAAACTGACCCTCTGATTGAAGAACATAAAATAAGCCTGAAGCCTGAAATATCCATGACATCTTGAATAATGTTGAATAAACTTGCTAAGAAGGAAGGCCATGCCCGGAAGAGTTCCATAAGAAAATGGAAATGGTTTATAGAGGAACATGCTACCATGGCAACGTGAGGAGGCACTCATATTCAGAAACAGGTGTCCTCTCTTTCCCTAAGACCACCTGAGGAACTGCCAGATCCTGTTGCCACTTGGGTGATGCCAATGAATAGCTCTCAACTGACCAAAAGCTGCTTGTTTTATGGATGGCAGTTCTAAGGTGAATGGGTTTCTCTGAGTGGGAAATATTAGCTATGGTGTGCTGGTAAATATTCAATAGCCAGATCTCCGGGTTTGGGGGCAGCCCTGAACTGTAGTATTGCTAATGTCCACTGTGTAAATAATCTCACCATAGTCAATTTCAAGCTACCAACCCATAATGTGGAGTTAGGAAGAGAAACAGTAGCACACCATTGTGTAGTATTTCCAGTATATAGGTAGAATAGATGTAAACAACCTCAAGAACATAGATAACAGTAAAATGTCTTAGAAAAATTAGAAGTAATTGGTTTTGAGTAATTGTTACCTTTGTTTTTAATATAATTTATTTAACCATAAGTTTATATCATTTTATTTGTAATAATGAGTTTAACAACCAGCTAGCAACAGTCTTAAAAATGTAATAATCGACTCTTGCAAGCTGGTTTATGCCTGCACACTGATGGATGTTACTGAAAACCAAGATCTAAGTGCCAGGTTTATTGTCATGGATGTGTCATTGCTTCTAGGTTCTTTCCATGAAAATAATATGGAAATAGAATTTGTTTTTTAAACCAAGGGTTGGTATTGATAGTGCCAATTAAAATTAACCTTTCTTTTAAAAAAAGTAGTGGGGAAAGCGGGAGAGTGACATTGAAAATTTTATCAGTGACTGTCAAACAAGGTCATTTCTGCAGAAAGCATGAAGGTCTATTGGATGCAGCGTCTTCCCTTAAAGAGCTCACTCTTCGGTAGATTCTCTAGTAAGATATTTCATTAGTTTCCCAACTGGAGTGACCTAACCAGTGAAAGCTTGTTTTCCTCATGTAAGAAGATGCATGGAGAGGGCCGGCCGAGTGGCTCAGTTGGTTAAGAGCTCGCTCAAGAGTGCCAGCTCTGAGCAGCAGCGATTTGAGTCCCGGCCCGAGCTGAGCTGCCACTGAGCTGCCAACAGGTGGCAGGATGGCTCAGCTAAAAACAAAACAAAAAGAAGAAGAAGATGCACAGATTAAGATGCACAGAAGTAGGCTGTGCAGGTTGGTATAGCAGTTCCACAAGACCATCAGGAAACCAGATTCCTTGAATTGTTCAGCTACAATATCCTTCATGAGTGGCTTCCATCCTCATGGTTACCTCCTGGTTACCAAATGGCTTCTCCACCTCCAGCATCACATCCATAATCTAGGGAGGAAGAAGACGGAAATGACAAGGAAGAAGGACTGGACAATATCAAGAAAGAAAAACTTTCCCAGGAGTCCCATGCCCTCTTCCACTAAAACAAAGTCACATGTCCCACCCCCAACTCCAAAGGAAGCTAGACAAAATAGTGCCTTAGTTTGCAACATGGCAACCCTAAACAAAGTTGGGTTTGTTAGTCATGAAGAACGGGGTAGGTAACTGTTGGTATCTGGCACCTACACAGAAACAAATGACTCTATTATGAGGAAAAAAATGTTTCCCCAGAAAAGAACAAATAATTTAATTATTCTTGGAGGAGATAGATTACCCATTTCCGACTGGGTAAGGAGGTCAGGAAAGGCTGCATGTAGAAAATGGCATTGAACTCAGCTTTGAAATTGAAGTAGGATTTGAATGTGGGCAGAGGGGAGTTGCAAGAGGAAAGGCTGTGAAAGGGGGAATCCCTGAGTGATGGGAGAGGTATGCTTCGAGTGAAATTTGGAACAAACCACATTCCCTCTGGCATGGAAAATGTTGAAAAAGTCACGGGGATAGAAGGCAAGGATGAGGCGAAATCGTGGAGAACCTCATCAAAACAAAGAAGTTTGGGACTTTTCCTATCAGCAGTACGAATTCCTGTCCATTTTTATTCTCTCCAAGATCTGTTAAATCTGTCCCATCCTCTGTCCTCACAGCTTATGAACCAGCCCAAGCGCATCATTCATTCCAGACCACCACACCACTTCCCTGGCCACCTAGCCTGCAGTTGCTCTTCATGAGGCCGTTTCTCACATGGGCCCCAAAGGGATATTCTGGACACCCCAGATCTGATCCTGTCCCTCCATGGTACACAATCCTTCCATGGGTCCCCATTAGCTTTGAGAGGGAACCCAAAGGACCTGGTAATAAGGTCCCTCCAACTGGGAAGGAAAGACTAGGAGAGAGAGAAGAAAGACCTGGCAATGGGGTTTCACAGAGGATTGAGGGGGCCGCCCGGTCCCAAGATGGTCTTGAGCATCTCATCCCATGTAACTCCTGCTTCTCAGGGTAGATAGGCTTTTAAGATGACCAAAGAGACAGAAGCCCCTGACTTGCTAAGAATACTTTCTGCTTTCCCCAGCCCCACATCCTTTTTCAGTTACTCATCATCCCATCCCTCCTGGACCACATGGTTCTGATGTCAGAGCCAGCTGCAGTAATGATCCTGGGCCTCTCCTGTCCCTGAGAACCGTTGCTGCTACAGATGGCGCTGCCACTGCAAGATCTGGGTGAGTGGGAGGAGAAGCAGTGCTGGAGGTCTGAGGGGGCTGAGGGCTACAGGGTGTAAAGAAAGAGAACATAAGGGTGTAGGGTACCAAGTAACCAATATGGATCAGACATCTGTGGGCTGGACCTGGCAGGTTGGGGGTGTCTGGGGCAAATAGCGGACTGGGCCAGAGAGCAGAATTGCTGGTGAAGGTGGACACTCAGTCAGGGTGGTCTGAAGACATGAAAGCACAAGGAGCTGTCTCAGATATCACTGGCAGAGGCTGGGAGCTCCAAGGGTAGTCAGGTTTTCAGCATCTATTAGTAGCTCTCCATGAGCATGTTTTCCCAGATGGAAAAAAACTAAATAATCTAGTGGACAACAGTGGAAGAGAGGCTGTGTATTACCATCCCCAGCAAATGCCTTATCCCCCTTCTCTGAGTGACCCAGAGGAAATGTCCAAGATCCAGGGTTACTATTTAGGGGAAAGTTACTCTCTTTCTTCCAGGAACCTGAACCAGCTCCAAAAAGTACGTGAAAAAAACTGAGGACCGATTCCTCCTTACTAATCCATGGTATTCACCTGATGGAAAACATGTCTCACCTACTCTATGTAGAATGAGGCAGCTTCAGATGTTCTTACCCAAAAAATGTCATAGCAATCTTAGGTTCAGATGAATGCTCAAGCAAAGGCTACTTTGGACTGGGAAGAAGAAAATCTAGAAAGGCATTCTATTTCTTGAATGGGTACTGCTTTACTGTACACTGAGCTAGGAACGCCGTAAACCTTAGGGCATTCATCCTTATAGCAATGATATTATGATACAGGTTCAGTGAATATCCCTATTTTCCAGATTAGGAAAGAGCAAAGAGAGGGGAAGTGATTTGCCTGACAGCATCCAGAAAGTTAAGTGATGAGGGAGAAATTGATCACAGATAGAGCTGGGAAGGGGCAGAGCCCAGGGGGAGAGTCGGGATGGGAGGAAGAGAGGGAGGTAGAAGCTGACACTGGGAATTCTAGCCTGGGGTGTAGATAAGGGACTATGGGCAATAGAGATTCCCAGAAAATTCCAGTCTAGAAGGTTAAGCATTCAGGTTCAGGCCATATAAGGAGAGAGGATGAAGGGGTACTGGTCTATGAGGCCCAACTCCTCTGGGCTTCCAGAAAGTCTTTCCAAATCTCCTTGTGAATCGTGAATGAGGAGAAGGCTGGGTCCTGGAGGAAGCGGAGAAGGGAGGTCAGGATGCCTTGCCGACTCCTGACCCACCCTCTCCACAGTACCCGCTACGCTGCTCCATTCCTCCTGTTCCTTGGAGAAGACGCTGCAGTGCAGCTGCTCTTTCTACGGGATCCCCACACCCTCCGTGCAGTGGTTGATGGAAGGCGTTCCTGTTAGTGTGAACAGCATGGATAACATCCTCCAGGTGTCTTCCACCATCACTGCCCCCTGGGCCAACAGCACCATCAGCCTGGCCAAGCAGCCAGAAGTGGATACGCGCCTTCTCTGTGAGGGGAAGAACCACAATGGAAGCCATGCTCTAAGCATCCTGCTGATGTCAAGTGAGGATAGAGGATGAGGAAGAGTGGGATGGGGACAGGTCCTGGGGCCAGTGAGGAAGTGGACCTTTGGCTCCAATTCCAGGGTTGTAGGAGGGAAGCCTTTCTCCTATGCTCTCTACTTCCAGGAAAGAGTTCTTTGGGTCCCCAGACATTCATCAACGGGCTCTTCCGGGGCTTTGTCTATGGAGCCATTGCGGTCGCGCTGTTCTGCCTCTGCCTCCTCCCACTTATGTGAGTATTGGGGTTAACATTTGTAAGCGTCTCCCAGAGCCTGCTATTTGGCAGGCCCTGGCTGCTGTGCTGGCACAGAGCGGGCAAAGACAGGCCCACTGCCCTTGAGGAGCTCAGGGTCTGGCAAGGGAAAGAGGCTCCAAATATGTTCACCACCATCCAGGGCCATCAGGACAATACTGAGCCACAAACAGGTCCAAGGGACAGAGGCTTTAGTGAATTTCATAAGGGAGAAAGCAAAGGAGGAAGTGGCAGCCCTGGAGAAGGCAGCAGAATCCCCACAGTACTGTCTCAAGTGGACCTGGGGGATGAGCACTCATTGGCTTCATGGAAAGTAGTATTTGCAGACCCTAGGGACACATTTGAGGAATTTCCAGTGTTTTTGTGCAGTGTCACTTGCATTGAGAGTGACCGATAATGGCTAAAAGTGAAGGTGAAAAAGGTCCTTGGTGTTGGTTCATAAAGACTCCTGAAACTTGGCTAAACTTATTGGTTAGAAGCCTAGAGTGAGAAGGGCATGGTGGGCAGAGGTCAGGCCAGAGAGGAGGTCAGGCAGGCGAGCCTTTGGCCAGTCCAGATGTCTTGGGCTTAATCCTCCATTGGGAGCCATGGAAGTGTGCTAAGCTGCCAAGGAAAGCATGAGCTTGAGGTGGAACACAGACCAGAGAAGGAGAGCCAGGAGGCCTGAGGCCCAAGCCAGGCTGGAGCTGGGCAAGCAATGAGGGGCAGTCAGAGACATGGGACTTGGGAATGATTGGCTATCAGAGGTGAAAAAGAAGAAGAGCAGGGTGGCAGGGCCAATTGGGGAGCTATTTTCAAAGTATAGTCAGCTGGACTTGAAGACCAACAACAGTCCTTTACAGTTTGCAAAGCCCTTTTATAGCTGACCTCATCTGAAGCCCAGTGGCCTGATAAGCAAGGTGCCCCATTGTACAGAGTCAGAAACCAACTCCCAGAGAGTCGTGTGGCTTGCCCTAGATAACACAGCAAGCTGGTAGTGTCACTGAGACTCTAAACCAGAACTTCAGATCAAGACCAGAGCCCACGTGGGGGTACTGGGGGGTAGAGAGCCAGAACTGATCCAGAGGGTCATTTCCATAGAGTGAAACATACCAGAATGAAGCAGGCAAAGAAAATTGCAGCAACCAAAGCAGCAAGGAGTCCTAAAGTCAGAGAACGCCGAGAACCCAAGATGCCTCTGAAGACTGAGGAACCAGAAAAATGTATAATTACCCCATCTTCTGAGAGCCAGATACTGGTGGGTACCCATTGTGTCTGGAATCTAGTCTATCAGAACATGGTAGACCCATATCAAGACCCATGAGGTGAGGCACACAGTGTTTAAAGGAATTATCATCCTCAATCCTGTCGAATGTCTACTAGAATGCCAGAATATGCTTGAAGGTCATCTTATAGATGATGAACCAAGGCCCAGGGTAGGATAGAAGGATGAAAACGAAGAGAAACAAAGGGTAATTAGAATCAGCAGTGTACACACACACACACAGACACACACACACACACACACACACGCTGAGTCCTCATTGAGAAGAGGGTTGAGAGAACCCCTAGCAGCGGTCTCTGAGTGTTTGGCAGGCCATGGTCAGCACAGTCTGTAAGTACCACAGGCCCAAATCATCAGCCCAAAGTGCTGGGGACCAGACTAAGCCCAGGCTGCTCCTTCATTTACCCTGCACCCAATATCCTCAGCAGGGTTTGGAAGGAACAGCACCCGAAGTTGCTGCACCTCACTGTTATCCACCTTTGACAATGCTCTAGGACCAGAGATGCCCTGCTGTTCCCCTTACACCCTGCTCTAAGAGCCAGTGTCCCTGTGTGGATAAACTATGCATCTGTTACATTCCATCAACATTTCCTAATATCCATGTGCACAATGCTGGGATCTCAGAAATAGGTCAGACCCAGGCCCTGCCCTCAGAGAGAAACCAGGCTGATGGGGAAGGCACCCTCCCAGTAACAGGGCTGAGCGGGGCATTCTGGTTGCCTAGAGGAGGGAGGGACCAAACCTACCTGAAGAAGCAGGCAGAAGTTGCCAGGGGAGTCTGGGGAACAGTCGAGTGTCTCCTGGTGCTGGTACTGCACAGGGAGGACCAACGAGAGAAGACAGGGTTGTAGGCTCCAACCAGAGGATTGCAAGCAAAGGTGCCTTCATTCATTCTCAACAGGAAGGACTGAATTCTGTCCTTTTCAGATTTGGATGCCTCACCTCTACACCTGTTACAGCATCCTTCTTTCTTTGCTCTGCAGAACCCGTTACCCTAAACTCCCAGGAAAAGCAAGATAAACTGGAGCTGACAAAGCCTGTGAAAGCAACTAGCGCAACTGGAGTCCCCATTCTCCCTGGGATTAAAAAACTCCACAGAATGTTTAGAAACCCCAGAAACCAGGAGTCTATAACAAACCTGGAGCCCCGGAGTCTCCTCAGCTCACAAAGCCATCTCAAGCCTCACCACCCTGTCTTGCATTGAATAGGTTACTTTTGGACTTGATCTTAGAACCTTTGAAAGCAAACTATGATCTGTTGTTTGAATTAGCCAGAAGAAATATGTCCACCCTGGGATGGTGTCAAAGGAAGAAAAAATAAATGTGAGACTGTGAAATAGGTCCACCAAGAAGCAGCTTTTAAGCTCCTATTGTATGCACAGGACCTGGAACATAAGAGCACCAGGCTTTGGAGACATCATATATGGATGGATTGGACCCCAACTTCAGGGTTTAGTGGTTATATGTCTCGGATAAGACCTTTTGCCCCCACCAACCACTTTACCATCACCTGAGGTGTACCTGGGTGGAGAGTGAGTGAAAAGTGGTGTCCAGAGACGCAGGTGGAGAAAAGGCACAAATATGGGCCCTGAATGCCAAGGTAAGGCAGTGGTGCTTTATCTGTTAGGACCTTCTCCCAACTTTTTTAGGGTGTGAGTTCCACGAGAACAGGGATCTTGTCTGTCTTTTTTTTCTGCTTGTATCACCAGCACCTAGAATGGTGCCTAAAATATAATAAGCTCTCAACAATGTTTGTTGATTAACTGAATGAATGAATGAATGAATGAATGGTAAGCTCCTGGAAAGCTTGAAGTAAAGAATTGAAGTGACCAGGTATACAGTGAAAGATCCTTCTAGAAGTAGTTATTGAAGATGCATTTAGAAGGAGTAAGGCTGGAGGCAGAGCATAATTAGGAGGTTACTGCAGTATTTCTTGGCCAGGCTGAAAAGCAGGAATACGAGGGATGAGAATGCAATTTTGGCATAAGAATGGACCATGGATATGTATTGTTCCCCTCAGAATGGATGACAAGCTTCTTTCTGAAGCCAGATACTGGTGATTTTCAGCACTTGGAAAAAGGGTCATCTCTCCCTGGGGCATGATTTGTGGGTAAATCCAGTGGTTCTCCATTCAGTGCCAGTGATATAGTCATCGTGTGCTCAGGGTAGATGTTTATATGAGCCTCACTTTTATGCATGCAGCTTTACACATTCCACAGAAATATGAGCATCCACTTTGTGCCAGGTAATGAGGCAGACAAGCCAGACACTGGCATTGCCTCCACGGAGCTCGTGGTCTACACAGGTACACAGACAATGAAGAAATAAACACAAAATTACAGCTTAAAATGTCAAGTGCCAGGAAGGAAAAAGGATAGAATACTATGATAAAGTATAAGGGACCAGAGGAGGATCCTAGTTTAGACTAGAAGGTCAGAGAAAGCCTCTTTGAGAAAGTGACATTTGTGCTGAGACCTAAAGAATTATTAGGAGCTACTCGTAGTCAGAGGGGTCAGCAGGTTGTAGGCTCTGTGGTAGGAGAGGTTCGGTGAGTTCAAGAGCTCAGAGGGGGAGGTCTACGCCCCTGGAGCACAGACCAAGGGGTGAGCTCCCAAGGGGGACAGGGCCCCAAGGCCCTGGTGAGAAGTTGAAGTTTCACCCTCCCTCGTGAAGGATTATTTCCTCATGTGCTTTGTAATCCTGGAAAGTGGGCTCCTTTCATCAGGACTTGATCTGTGAGATTTGTGAAACGGCAGTTTTGAGTTGAGGGTAGAAGTGTCTGTAACAGGTCTGCTGTTTGCTTCTCTCAAAGAAACAAATCCTCTATCAGGGAGAGGTGGACAAGGATGGGGAGAAGGGGGACGGTAGGTGTCGGGTCCGAGTGTTTCAAGCAGGGACAGTTTCGGTGGTGAGGTACCCAAACGGAAAAAAGCCTTGCAGAGTCTTTGACATGAATGCAGCCACACTTGTATTCAGCAAAGGCAGAACAGCAGCACAACTCAGTTAAACAGCAGCAGCAGCAGCAAAGGCAGAACTCAGAACCCAGCAGCAGAGGCAGCACAACACAGAGCTCAGAACCCGCGCCCAGTTAAGCAGAGCTGGGGTTTTTATCACACAATAACAACAGTGTCGTGGTGCCAGAACACAGGAGCACTAACAGCAACTTACATAAACAAGTTGTTTTCCTTGCAGTCCCACCTGGGCCGGGGAGAGTTAGGGCTGCCGGTCTCCAAAGTCTGTAAACATTTCCTGACTCTGCGAGGCCCTGAAGGCTGGGCCCCCACAGTAAGTTTGGGGAAGGAGAGGAGAATGAGAAAAAGGATAGGAACTGAGTTGGAAATAGATCAGGGATGGGTTGTCAGGAAAATGGAAAGCTGGGTCTTAACTTACTCTGGTGTCTTGCTTTGTTCGTGATAGGGGCCTTGGTCGCAGGGCAGACAACGAAGTGGCACCACAGTGCCTTCTGATTGGCCCTGAGGCTCGTGCACTCGGCACTTTGTTCCTTGATCAATGGCTTCCAATCCGCCCATCACCAGCTCCTCCACAAGTACTGGGTTGGGGGAGTGTCCCTTAATGGCTGATTAGCCTGTTATCTCCAGCTGTAGAAACGCCTGCTGAAGAAAGACAATTCTCCCTAGGGCTGCGGTGGAGCGGGGCTGGCGCCCTGATAGAGTCCAGAGCGCCCAGTAGCGACCGTTGTTCCAGAGTGGCTCAGGGACTGGAGACTCACGGGGTTCCCCTTCGCAACCCCTCCCTGTCCCAGCGGCTCCAGTGCACATCATCAGGCCCTGATTGGCTCCGGGATGGACTCGCGCATGCGGGCGGAGTTGCTCCAGGAGCTGGTATCCACAGGTGACCTCTGGCTGAGGAAGCGTCGGTGAAACTCCGGGACTCCCAAGCCACCTAATAAACTTGTTATAAGACAGCTAATCAGTTAGCTTTCCTGTACCTTAGTCACTTCCCAGTGAGTCCCTTAGTGGCTGTGCACAGTTATTCACTGTGTCAGTCCTTCGGGTTCATAGTGAGGCATTAAATCAGTACAACAATTCTTTCCTCCGGAAAGTAAGTTCTCCGGTCAATGTTGTATAATATGTAGTAATTCAGCCAGCCAGTCACTTGCTGCACTCTGCAAAAATCCGGGAGGACGTTCCATTTTCAAGGAAATAGCCAGGTGGAGACGTGTTGAGGAAAGTCCAACCTGGAACTTTTGGAACCTGAACCTGAGGAGGTAAATTGGGAAAAGGAAATGACTGTTTAGGGGGGAGGGGAAGAGGTTGCCTGTGGAGACAACCCATAAATGTTCCAAAGCCTGGGGAAGGGAATAAGACTTGGAAGAGATCAGAATTTTAAAGTCTGAAGGACGGTTACATACTGGGCAATAAAACCCTTTGGTGTTACACATGAGGAAAATGAGGGGACTCAGAGCGGGGACAGCTGTCAGGCCACTGCTCCACCTCCAGTGTTACATCCATATTCTAGGGAAGTAGAAAAGAAGGAGAAGGTGACAAGGAGAAAGTAGCGGTGCCAATATCAGAAAAGCAGAATTCCCAGAAGATAGCCTCATATGCTTGGTATTTTAAATAGATGTCTCAAAATATTTGCTTAATAATAAGTCTAACAGAGCCCACGATTTTTATTTTTGCATTTGTACATGTGGGAAAAGGGAAGAGTGCAATCCCATAGATCGGCATATAATTTAGGAAAATAGTGCTGTCAATTACAATATTATTGTTACCAGAGCAAGAAATTACCAAGTAAGACAACTGGTCAGAATTCCATTTTATTTGAATATAATTTTCATAAGACATGGAGTAATTTCTAATATATTTGGAGTCTCTTAAGACCACTTTGTTTAAATCGTTCTTTCAAGGGAGGATTTGTATTAACAGAGAATGGAACAAGTCAGTAACAGTCATGAATATTCACCAAAAAAACTGTACATTGCAGAGGAGAACATAAATTATATTCTTATAAGCATTCTCAGTTTTGCACAATATGAAATCAGATTCCGTGAACCCTTTTAGAACACAGAACAATATATTTTGATTTGGAGCTGCGTGGGAAGGGAACATCTTTAATTCTTCCTGAGAGTTCTTTCCTTTATTATAAAAACTTGTGTGTGTTTTTTTTAAATTAGGCTCTAAAATTTTATTAGCTAATGTTATATACCTTCAGAGCTCGATTGTGATAGCACAATATGGCGTAAAGGCTAAACAGGCTTTTATTTGTTGATAATAATTTAATAGTGTTTTTCTTGTACTTGGCCAGAACTATGGCATATGGCCACCCCTAAATATAAAAAAAGTCAGGGAAGTAGAGATTTAAAAAAAGAAGAACTGGGGACTTAATCACCTGAACAAATTTGAAATAAGAAGAAGACACAGGGCCGGCTGAGTGGCGCATTGGTTAAGCGCTGGCTTGGGACGCCAGAGGGCCCAGGTTCGGATCCCATATATGAGGACCAGTGACACTGCCCTCTACAGCTAAGATGCTGAACAACAGCTCAACCTGGAGCTGGGCTGTCATGAGTTGCCGGTGACTGCATAGGCTGCAGCCCCTGTGGCAGTGGGTTGCCATGGGTTACTGTGTGTAGCCAGCAGCCAGCGTGAGCGGCTAGCAGCCGCAGTGAGCGGCCGTCCAGAAGCTGGCGACTGATCTGCCTCACCCGGGAAGAGCGCAATGATGGTGCCAACTTGGGCCAGTGAAGCAACGTCCTCCACAACTAGACTGAGGAACAAAACGA